ATGACATAGAATAGAGAACCCAGAAATAAGTCGTCACACCTTCAACTATCTGATCTTCAACAAACCCGACAAAAAATAAGTAATGGGGAAAAGATTTCCTATTCAATAAATGCTGCCATAATAACTGCCTAGCTATATGCAGAAGATTTAAACTGGATCTCTTCCTTATACCATATACAAAAATCACCTCCCGATGGATTAAAGATTGTAATGTACCACTCAAAACTATGAAAACTATGGAAGACAACCTAGGCAATACCATTCAGGACATAGGTATGGGAAAAGATTTCATGATGAAGATACCAAAAGGAATTGCAACAAAAACAAACTTTGACAAGTGGTATATAATTAAATCAAAAGTTTTTGCACTGCAAAAGAAACTATCCACAGAGTGAACAGACAACCTACAGCAAGGCAGAAAATTTTTGCAAACTATACATTCTACAAAGATCTAATATCTAGCATTTATAAGGCCCTTAAGCAAATGGGCAAGAAAAAAAAAAAAACCCATTGAAAAGTGGGCAAAGGAATAAACAGACACTTTCCCAAAGAAGTTATACATGCAGCCAACAGCATATGAAAAAAAGGTCAACATCACTGATCATTAGAGAAATGCAAATCAATACCTCAAAGAGATACAATTTCACACCTGTCAGAATGTTGATAAGGTTGTGGAGAAAAAGGAACATTTATACGTTTTTGTATGGTGGAAGCATAAATTAGTTCCAACCACTGTGGAAAGCAATACAGCAATTCCTCAAAGAGATTTTAAAAATAGAAGTATCATTCAACCCAGCAATCATCTTCCTGGGTATATACCCACAGGAATATAAATCATTCTATTATAAAGACATATGCACATGTATGTTTATTGTAGCGCTATTCCCAATAGCAAAAACACAGAATCAACCTAAATGCCCATCAATGGTAGATTGGGAAGAGAATGTGGTACATATACCTTGGAATACCATGCAACCATAAAAAAGAACAGGCTCATATCGTTTGCAGGAACATGGATGGAGCTGGAGGCCATTATCCTTAGCAAACTAACAAGGAACAGAAAACCAAATACCACTTGTTATCACTTACACATGGGACCTAAATGATAAGAACCCATGGATACATAGAGGGAAACAGACACTGGGGCCTACCTTAGGGTGAAAAGTGGCTGAAAAAATGAAAATTTATTCTCTTACAGCTCTGTAGGTTAGAAATCCACAATTAGTTTCACCAGACTATAAAATCAAGGTACAGGAAGGTCTGTATTTCTCCTGGAGATTCTAAAGGAGAATCTGTTTCCTTCTCCTCTCCAGCTTCTAGAGGTGCCTACATTCCTCAACGCATGGTCCCTTCCTCCATTTTCAAGGTGCACCACTCAGCTCTGTTCTGCTCTTATATCGTCTGGCTCCTGCTCTGATCCTTCTGCCTCCCACTTACGAAGACCCCTGTGATTACAATGGGACGATCCGGGTAATCCAGCAAAATCTAATGTCGATATCCTTAATTTAATTACATCTGTGAAGTCCCTTTTAACATGTAAAACAACATTCACAGATTCTGGAGATAGAATGTATTAGCATCTTTGGGGGTGGATATTATTCAATCTACCACAGGTATAGACCATTTATAACATTCTTTTTGCAGATGAGAAAATATGTAGTAATTATTAATACCACTATATACATTGAGAAACAAGAATTCAGAGGCCCAGTAACACAAACTCACAAAACTGCAAAGTGGGCCCCAACATATAAACATGGTGTTTCTAACCTTAAGTCTGTTTTGACTACACAATTCTGCTCCTGAAATAGAAAAAAAGGGACTCCCCACTTAAAGGTAGATTTTACTATTTCCTTGGGTTTAAAATATTTACTAAATATTTGTTGAATGGCTAACTGTATGTAAGATCCAATTTTAGTTTCAGGAATAAATAAGAATCAGATATAGTCAGTCCCAATGTAATCCTTTGTCTTTCCATATATTTAAATACCCATGATTCCTAAATGTATACATATAGTGCTGACCAAATTTAGCTACTTCATTAACATCCTCAGTTTCATTTTCGATAAACTTTTCCAGTGTCCCAAGTCTGAAACTGAACTCTTGATTTGTTCTTACAAATGTTCATCCCCCATTTCACCACCTCAGGAAATGGTCTCACTGTACTCCCGTCCCTCACCACCCACAGCTAGTCTATAATTGAATACCTTAAATTTTGTCCCCAAAATATATCTTAATTCCGTCTACTTCTCTTTATTCGCACTACCTCCAGACTCCTAATTAGTATCTTCATTTTCATTCTTGTATCGCCTCAATCCAACCTCCACACATAAACTAGCATGATCTATTTAGAATATAAATGAGATTATGTCAATTGCATGTCAAATATTTCAGTAACTACCTGGAGCACTTATAATACAATTCAAATTTTTCTTGCTATAGTGGATAACCATATAACATGTTCTGTTTAGGACTTTTCTGTACCTATTGTCCTGGCATAACTAGTAATAGAGTCTCCTTTCATACCTAAAATTATTCCATTTGGATGATAAGTCTCAGTCACCACATCTGTAGGGTCCTGTGTAGTCTTTCTTTTGCCTAAATATTATTCTCATAGCTGAAGTCTTCTCCCTCAGGGCTCAGTGGTGTCTTCCCTTAAGTCTCACGAGTAGTTAGTTCTCTTTAAAATCTGAACCATAGTATTCAATCCTATAATTAATTTGCTGAATGTCTGTTCAATCCATTAGGGTACACAAAGAGAAGCAGGCCTAGGCCGGTATGTGTTGTTTACTCATACACACACACACACACACACACACACACACACACACATATATATATATGTATGTGTGTGTGTGTGTGTGTGTGTGTGTGTGTGTGTGTTTCAGTCAGCATCGTATCTGAAACATAACAAAAGCCCACCAGTATCTGTTGAAGATTAATGACTAAATAAGCTTACCATATAGGCAGAGAGATAGTAAATGCATAGTGTAACATTAACATAATATAAATGTGTTCAGTATATCAACTACCAAAATTAATACAAAAAAGAAAGTAGTTACTTCTGCCTGCAGAGAAGAGTTGAAGAGAAAAGACTACATAAATGGAGGGTGCCCAAGCAGGGTTGATGGGCGAATAAGATCATGCAGTGTGAATTAAGAAGCCAAGAGAAGACTTCTAAGCTTAGGGGATGGCATTTGCAAAGGCAAAAAGGTGTAAAACTGTGTGATTATTCAGGGAACTCCCAAGTCGTTTCTCTTATTACAGTGTACAATGTTGTATAAATGATATATTAATAACACAAATCTTAAGGACAAAACCTAAATTGTGGTAAGCACAGCAGAAAATACAGAGAGAGCTAACAAATTTGAAGCTTGCCTTTTTTTTTTTTTTTTTTGAGACAGAGTTTCGCTCTTGTTGCCCAGGCTGGAGTGCAATGGCGTGATCTTGGCTCACCACAACCTCCACTTCCTGGATTCAGGTGATTCTCCTGCCTCAGCCTCCTGAGTTGCTGGGATTACAAGCATGCACCACCATACCCAGCTAATTTTGTATTTTAAGTAGAGATGGGTTTCTCCATGTTGGTCAGGCTGGTCTTGAACTCCTGACCTCAGGTGATCCACCCACTTTGGCCTCCCAAAACGCTGGGATTACAGGCCTGAGCCACTGGGCCCAGCCTTAAGCTTAGCTTTCTTTTCATTTATAGCCCTAAGACGATTTGAGAAATTCTACTGCATGTTTAACTCACCTTATAAATTATAGACATTCTCAGATAAATCAGTTTCTGAAGTGTTATATTTCAAACTCCATTACCATAAAGAATACTCACAGTTGCAGTTGCCACATAAGTAGGTGATATTAAATAGTATCACCTACATAGTTTTCTTGTCAATAATACATAAAACTAAGCTGAGCTTTGCTATCAAATAAATTCTGGGGTTTAAATTTTAAGAATTATGTCAAATTTCTTTTTTCTATAATATGCCTTAATTAATTATTAAATTATTTTTTAAAAACAGGCCAAAACCACTATGTTATCATTTTGGCATTTATACTGTACAAATGGATAGGTAAAAAATATCTATAGAATCTATAGATCTTCAGGTCATATTTTGATGTAACTAAACGTTGACATAAGTAAAACTTATCATTGACCTATTTCTCTAGAAATAGAATATTACCAAGAAAGATATTTGGTATAGATAATCATAAATAGTTGCTTTGAACATTTAGAATGTACACTGGAAGTTGCACACTAGCAGACTGCATGATAAAAATGCTTTGTTTAGACCCTAAAATGTTTTGAAAATTGACTTAAGATTTAAATTTGGGAAATCACAAAAATCCAGAATTCTGGCCACTCTTAAAAAAAATTTAAAGATCAGATAACTAGCAATATTCCACAAACCACAGTCCCATAGAAAGTAGCAGATATTCTCCAGTTAACCACAGAGCCACCTTCCCCATCACCCTAGACCCTTAGATATGTGACATGCCTGAGCCTTTGTGTGAAGCAAAACTCCCAATCATTAGAGACAAATTGAAAATCATCAAAAATGCTCAGAATATATTTAGACTTAGCTCATTTGCAATACTGAGAATTAAACATACAGGCTACTTTAAAAAATTGTCTAAATATGAAAAAAATAAGATATTCAACCCTTTGTTTCTTGGATTTTATTTGCTAACTAGACTACACCAAAACAAATAAGCCAAACACATCCAGAATAACAATTCTTCTCCCTGACTAGCAAGCTATTTGTTTTGGCATCTAGTCAATACAATGAAAATGGTACAGTACAATAATCTAAAAATATATATCATGCATTTAATCTGTGGCTTACCTAAAAGTTCCTCTCTGTTATGTATCTTTCCATGTGGCAAATATACTTTATTTTATTTAAACGGGAAGTCTTGACATGTTTTCAATATTAAAACTGTTCCAGGTTAGGAAATATTAACCTAGAAATGTCATTTCCATAGAAATAACAGACACTTACCTTAGCTATCTGGACACACCAGTTAAGCAGCAGTTGTGATCCAATGTTATCCTTGTGCTCATGAACATACTCCAACAGGCAGCCATGGGGCATAAGCTGAGTAACCAGCTGGATGGTTGGGCTTAGACACACACCCAACAACCGAACTAGGTGTGGATGATCCATACTTGCCATGATCAGAGCTTCCTATAATAAAAAATGCAATACCATCATTTCAACTTAAATTTTCTTACATTTAGAGTTACTTGCACTGTGCTAATGGTGCTGATGATTTTTAAAATGTACTCTTACTCAATGGAATCAATCAAAATGAAATGATAATGTTACAGTTATTCTGTCTTTAAAGTGATTTAATTCAATAAAATTAAATAAAAAACAAAGTCCCTACATGTATTAACATGGAAGCTGTTATACAATAACTGCCTATAAAATTGATAGCAGTGTTTTCTCCTTTGTAATATGAGCAATATTATATTTTATTTATTGCCAAGTAAGTCAAAATGAATTCCAGCTTATACTGTGGATTTTCAACCTTTGACTTTTGCTCTAAATGTGCAATAATCTATACAAATTTAGTTAGTTGCAAATAGAGTGAGGTGAGCTGAACTTTGAAGTCACCCATTATTGGTGTAGAGTTGGATAGTTTACAGTGGTGTCATGAATAAATCGTAAATATGGAAATGTAGATAATTACAAGTAATATGTTTATTGTCAATTTATATAAAATAATAAACATTTTAATATGACATTTTGTTCCATAATTTTACCTTTCCTCAAATTTATTTCATTTTCCAAATTATAAGTGGATGTCTTATTCATAGATGCTTAAAATTTGAGAGCTGAGACTATAAAAATTTGACTACTCCAACTTATATATTTCATAAAATGAGAAAACTGAGTTATAATTTTGCATCAGAATCATAAAGGCATCACTGCCTAATGGGAATAAAAGTGGACATATGATAGTTATTTAGGGCATTTCAGTTAGCTTCTAATAAAAAGTTATTAGAAGAGTGTTTATTGTAATTTGAAATAGATACAACAATAAAATTAATATGGTTTATTTATTTTTATGTACTTTGATATGTGCTTTTATATTATGAAAACAAAATATTGTGATCTCCTATGAAAACAAAATATTGTTTATCTCATATGAAAACAATAGTAAATTTTTGCTTTTAAGAAGCTACATAATATTACCTATATACTATTCTTGTCAATAATATTTAATTTGAATCTAATCATAAGTAAAAAATTCAAACAAATACATATTGTAGAACATTCTGCAAAGAAACTGGCCTGTATAGCCGGACACATTGGCTCACACCTGTATCCCAGCACTTTAGGAGTCCAAGGTGGGCAGATCACCTGAAGTCAGACGTTCGAGACCAGCCTGACTAACATGGTAAAATCCCATTTCTACTAAAAATGCAAAAATTAGCCAGGCATAGTGGTGGGCACCTGTAATTCCAGCTACTTGAATGGCTGAGGCAGAAGAATCATTAGAACCCGGGAGCTGGAGGTTGCAGTGAGCTGAGATCATGCCAGTGCACTCCAGCCTGGACAACGGAGAGAGAGACTCCATCTCACAAAAAAAAAAAAAAAAAAAAAAAAAAAAAAAAAAAAAAGGAGAGAAACTGGCCTGTACTTGTTTAAAATATCAATACTAGGAGCAATGTAAAAGAAGGATATGATTTTCAAACTAACAATTATTACAGAAATAGGCCAATGCTGCATTTTTGGTTCTTAGATAAAAAAAATATATAAAACATATTGGGACGATTGAGGAAATCTAAGTAGGCGCTATATATTACGTAATATTGTATCAATGTTACATATTTGAGAGTGATAACGGTATTGCAGCTATGTAAAATAGTATTCTTTGATCTTAGAAGATTCCAAAATGAAGTATCTTGTGCCTGCAATTTATTTTCAAATAGTTTACTCAGAGACAGAGAGAGACAGACACACACACACACACACACACACACACACACACACACACACAGAGAGAGAGAGAGTGAGAGAGAGAGAGAGAGAGAGAGAGGGAGGATATATGTATATGTATCTATGTTTTTGATATGTGTATATACATATATACACACATATATTTGCACATACACCTAGAGGGGGTAATACGTATATGGCAATTGCTTATCAATTGGTTTATCTAGATGAAGGTACACTGTTCATTGTATTACCCATGAACATTTTCTATAACTTTGAAAATTTTCAAAATAAAAAATTCAGGACATAATTTATATTGAGTTTCTGTTTAAGATGGCATGGCAGATCGAATACACAAATTACTTCCTTTTCCTCTCAATTTCACTATATGGACAAAAAATTAATTTTAAAAGGCAGATGCCAACAATCATAAGAAGGAGACAATAAAGATAGAATAGTAAAAGTAGGAGTGGCTCACTAATGCTAGCTGACCTGGTAAACATAAGAAACCTGAAGCCTAATTTAATGTGGGGAAACTGAGAAGCAATCCAATAGTATGTAACACCAAAGGCTGAGGATTAGGAGTAGTGATACAAACCTCCCTAAATGAAGCAAGAAGAACTGGTTTCAAGCAGGATTGCTTCAAAGTAGGTTTAGGAAATACTTAGACTATAAATCTCCTTCTTCCCTTCACCCTTAGGAAATCTTAAACCAAAAGAACTGTGGACTGTGGATATCAGGCAAAATGGAAAGAGAAGTACTCTGGAGAAAACAGAAGTATTATGTAAATTTATATATAATAAAAACATGGACCATTCTTCCATTCCATCTCACAAATAGATGGAATTCAAAATTCTCAAAATTTTGTTTGAACCTAGAATTTTAGAGCCAGCAGCATTTCAACCAAGTGAATATATACAACAGACATGTTCAGACAAGCCAAATATTAATAAATTTACCTTCCATATTTCCTTTCTTTGTAAATGTGCTCATAAAACAGGGAGGGGGGTGTTAGGAGAGTACATTCAATCAAGAAAAAAACATCAAGCATGAGATATAGAAACAGAAAAAAAATACGTGAAAACTTTTCTCAAATAAAAACTATACAACAAAGGGAAATCGCAGCTGGCCAAGACTGGAACAGAACAAAGGGCTCTGAGAAAGGTGAGCCAAGAAGGTGGAATTGACAGATTACCTGATGAACCTAAAATATATTAAGAAAATGATTACTTTTCTAGTGGGAGTTGAAGGTCTAATTAGTGATAGATATACAGAACACTAAGCTAAAGTTAAAAAGAAATTACTCTGAGATAAAACAGAAAGATGTGCACAAGAAAGACTCAGAAAGGTGAGGAGCTGAGAGGGGAGTGGATGATGAGAGACTGTATGCTATTTGAATGATGGATACACTAAAAGTCTTGACTTCTCCATTATGCAATCCATGTGTGTAACAAAATCATACTTGTACTTCATAAATTAATCCAAATAATTAAAAAGAAAATCATGGAAATAGTTACATAATCATGATAGCATAAATAGGAAACACTGATATAATCAGAAATCATATAAATGTTGGAAGATGGGGGGCCAGAGGATGCCCTTTTGAAAGGTGGTGATGGGAATGGAGTGAAAGATATGTAACCATTGCTGGTTGCAAAAACTTAGCATATGATTCAAATGCTAAAAAAGAAAAACTAAGACTTCACAATATAAGCATGTTATTTAAATGAATAGAGTTAAGTAAAAGAAGAAATTTCCAAAACTTTGAAAGTGATTGATTTGGGCAGTGGAAAATAGGGGGATGGAAAGGACAGCAGGGTAGCTAGCAGGTTGCCTTTCATCATTAGTCTTTTCAAAATATTTGACTTTTTTATGATTAATTTAAAGCTACTTGGGAGGACATTATGCCCTTTAGCTGCCCCTACTATTTTACCACTGTTGAGTTCAGCTGAGCCTTATAAGAGTTAGTCACAAATATGCAGTGTCTGGTGGGGTATGTGGACTTCCCAGATCCAGTCAAGCATTTATCGCGAGGTCTCATTTTACTTTTTCAGTGAGAAGAGTCGGGCAGCATGGGAACATGCCTGGAGAAAGGAATTAGAGCAGACCAAACAAAAGAAGTAAGCTGGTAAAATGCTGTCACTCTCCCTCAAAGGACTTTTTGTTTCTGAGGCTCAGTGGCAAAGCAGAAATCATTGTTTTCAGATGCCTTCCAACTAGAAAAGATACTTTAATTCTCTCTTTTCTTGGTGCCCCAGGAAACCAGAAGAGTCACAGAACAGAGAACCAGTTTCTATGTTTTCTTGCCGAGCCCACTAGGACTGCAACATGGCGAAGGCTGGAAGTTCCAGAAGCACTGTGAGGCATCATGCCTAGCCAGGACTTCAGCATCCTCACGTGGGTGGTACCAGTCTGCAGTAACAGGGGTGGGACCTTCCAGTGGCTCAGAGAGAAGAGAACTCAACTTAGGGACCAGAACTGGTAAGAAAGATCACTGTAGATGCCACAGGGAGACTGCAGCTTGAAGACCAGATTATAGGTAAATAGGAGACACCCAACAAGTTTCCAAAATATTTGTGGAGACTTCTTTGGGGGCCAGGGTTTTGCATAATTAGCAAAGCCAGAAATCTGTGTTATTACCATTCACGTGGCCTCGTTTGGATTCATGAGGTGAAAACATTTGGTGTCACTCCTTGTATATCTCAGAGAGCATTTGAAATAAAGCACAGCAGTGTAGTTATAAAGAGAGTATGGATGAAAATGTTAGCCAACTTAAATGACTATTTAATCTAGTGTTAACTGTATTTGCAGTGTAAACCAGAAGGTTCTTTCATTGAATTATAACATGCACATGTATAAATATATGCATGCCAACAAATCAGCAAAACATCTAATTAGATTAAATCACTAATTTAATTACATATTTAATTATGTATTAAGTTAGATACTTAATTAGACATTAAATATCAGAAATAAAATTAAATTAATACTTATGTTATTTCTTTTTTGGTGGCTCTCAATGTTTTGTGTATATGAAAGTCACCTAGGTTTACAGTTATAAGTGTGGCCCTACTCCCAGATACTCAGGTTTAGAAGTAGATCTTAGGAATCACCATTTGTGGCCAGCTCACGTGGTAAAGGAATTTAGGAAATATAAAATGTTGAGAGTTTCTAGCACATCCTGATATGTCCATCAAATGTGTATTTCTATAATCCATTGCAAAAAGCACTAACATGTA